TCGTCGCCCGCAAAGTGCATCCCAACTCCACCTTACTCCATGATGAGCGCCGGAGAGGACGACGACCTGAAATTACAGCGAGCATCTGCATCGCTCCTGTCTGACTTCGAGAGGCTGCTACCGCGACTACTGCGGAAACGGCAGCATGGCTCTGCCCTTGGTCCCGTCCGCCAACATGTCCGAACAGCAGACATGTACAAGGCATGCAGCTTGGTATGAACCCTATCAATCAATCTTCTCAATGGCTGTCTGACCTTTTACAGATAGAGCCATTCCAGGAAGACCCCCAGATTCTAGACACCCACCTCAAAACCTTCATACCTCCACTCGTCGCCGCCTATCTAGAAGCAATATCGGCGAGCGCCACAGAAGAACCGAAACCAGGATTTGTGACTCTTGCATACGCCATATGCTCCGTCTTGAATACGTTCTGTAAAGTCCGAGGCGAAAAGGTCGTCAAAGGCTTCTTCAATAACGAACCACGTCATCTCGAAGCGATCTTGGGCGAGTTAGAAGCGACTGGGGTTGTTAAATCTGAAAATCCCGATGCCCTACTGCAGGACACAGCTCGTCCCTGGATAGAGCGCTATGTGCTGCTCTTATGGCTCTCACAGTTACTACTCGCGCCCTTTCCCCTGGAGTCTATGTCTGGGTTGCAAGTTTCTGCAGAAACACCTGTAGCTCTTGGGCTGAAGCTCCCGGATGAACTTCCAGGTGTCACTCTTCGGGTAATTTCTCTGTGCATGTCGGGGCTTCAATCCCCAACAAAGGAAAGAAGCGCCGCTGCAAGTCTCCTAGTGAGGACATGCGTGCGACCAGATATGCAAAAGCTAGGTTTACTGGATGCCATGGTCCAATGGTCCTTGTCTTTCTTCACAGACATATCCGAAGAGAAGACCGACATACATCAGTGTCTCGGAGTTCTCTCATTCTTGTCAGGGCTATTGGCCTCCGCTACGAATGAGGAGCTTGGCCCTTTCCTCGCTGCCATATACCTATCCTGCAGAAAGATACTGGATCAGGAGAGTCTCGCTTTTGTCAAGTCATCAGCTGTGGCTCGAAAGCTAGTTGTGAAAAGCTTGCGCAATGTCGTTTTGCATTGCCTACAGGCGACGTCAACCCTTCCTGGACTCGATTCAACCGTGGTATTGGAAGAAGTCATCGAATTTCTCCTTGAAGCACTCGCGGATGGTGACACGCCAGTCAGATACGGTGCTAGCAAGGCGCTCAGCATCATCACTCTCAAATTAGATGCGGAGATGGCCAGCGAGGTTGTCGAAGCGATACTTGGCTCGCTCACAGAGAACATCTACTGGCAGGGGTCCAAGCGCAATTTGAACAGCGTGAACCCACTCCGATGGCACGGTTTGACTTTGACGCTGGCTCAGCTTCTCTATCGCAAAGCAATCTCTACCACCCATTTGGCGGACGTTCTCAACGCTCTCCTACTTTCCCTCGGCTTTGAGCAACGGTCGCCTACTGGAGGGTCCATTGGTACGAACGTACGCGATGCAGCTTGCTTCGGTATTTGGGCGCTCTCTCGCCGCTACCCCACCACTGACCTCCTTGCGGTCGAAACCGCGACAATAAGGGCTTCCGAGCACCTCAGATCATTACACGTCCCTCAAGTGCTGGCAATCGAATTGATAGTTGCTGCTTGTCTCGATCCAGCAGGCAACATCAGAAGAGGCTCATCTGCTGCGCTTCAAGAACTTATAGGTCGCCACCCCAATACAATAGAAGAGGGCATACCGCTCGTACAGATAGTCGACTTCCACGCTGTCGGGCTCCGCCAGCGCGCAATGTGCAACGTGGCGATCAAGGCTGGAGAATCACAGTCTCTGTACTGGGAGGCCCTATTCAGTGGTCTTTTAGATTGGAGAGGAACCGGCTCGTTGGATTCAGACTCACGTCTATTTGCAGCTGAGGCCATCGGGTCTCTTTCTAAGGCTCGATCTCCTGCAGTAGTGCAGAAGATGTCTGATCAGGTCCGCGGCAAGCTTGCGGCGTTGCGACCTCGCGAGGTGGAAGAGCGTCAAGGGTTGGTGACTGCGCTTGCGACGCTCATTGACACGACAGTAGCTATGCATGTGGAACGAGCGCCCGACAATCCATATGCGTCCTTGATGGCCCTTTGGACTTCGTTCTCAAAAGAACTAAAGCTTGAAGACAAGGCATTCACTTCGCCGGCATTGCGACCCCAGTTCACCGCATCATCAGTTTGTACATTTATCGGAGCAATCTCGAGACTCACCAATGGTACCCTCAGCAAGCTTTGGCCTTCAAACCTACCCCTGGCACAGGTTTGTAATTTATTGGACCTTTGTCTCGCGCGTCATGAGGAATCAGTCCTCGATGCTATTGCTGCCGCAGTCCCTGCAGTAGTCTCATTATTACCTAGATTACCGGGGTCCGATACATCTGGCGTCGTGATGTCATGGCTGCTGCGTTTGGAGAATGAAGCATCGTACAATGGATCGCGATGTTCCGGGCATGCGATCGCTCTAGGAGCTGCGCATGGCAGCTTGAACAGCCTGGCATCTGATACTGAAAGGGATGTCCTCCAGCGGCGGATCGTAAAGGTACTTACGTTCAGGTGCACACCAGCTGTGGCAATCGAGGCCCGAACGGTGGCATTACGTGCACTGCGTTGTTTGCTTGGGAGCAAGAACCCTGAATCAACTCAGCTTGCTGCCGATGTAGAAGACCAGATCGCGAGCGCCTTGCACATTGCACTTAACGACTATACCATTACAGAACGGGGAGATGTCGGGTCACTCGTCCGACTCGAGGCCTTGAATACCGTGCGCTTGGCTTGGGCAAATGGAATACTCACCGAGAAACGCAATGAACGCGAGTACGATATCCACGCCGACATCGTTCGGCTATCTCTCGAAAAGCTCGATAAGATGCGCATGAACGCCGCTCAAGTCCTCCAGCTGAGAGAAGCCGGCGGCGAAACCACAGACGAGGTCTCCTCTCGGACCTACTTCTTGAATGCACTGATATCGTTACAAACAGCGAAAACCCCCGCGATCAGAGAAGCTATCTGTGTTGGTTTTGTCAGCTCCGCGGGCATGGGCTCCGAATCCGTGGTGCAGAATTCACGAGCAGCTTTGCTGGACTTTGTGGATACTCTACAAAACGAAGATACATCCGACGTTACGCATTTTGCCTTAGTTGACTTTGCAAACTGCGTCCTGACACTCCTGAAGAACAACATCACCAACGATAGAGTTTTGCTCCCGCTGCTAGAGGTCATCGCCTTCTTGTTCGACATGCAGATCATGCAGCGTCTTCAGTCGACGTCTTTCAAGTAAGGGCTCTCTCTTGGTGTTCCATATGCGCATGCGCTAATCGTGTTAGTTTCCGAGCGCTTCTTTCATATGCGCAGAAGGCACATTTCAAGTCCACGCATATGCAAAAGCTTCACCTTGCGCTGGATGTGTATCGGGGCTTAGGCGTCATCCCAATGACCAGGAGCGATACGCTAGCCAAAGCTGTGAGCATGCTGTTACATCCGTTCCCGAAGGTATGCATAAGACAAATTATTGCCGCTGGCTTACGTTAATGAGGTCTAGGTACGCATCACAACAGCGGAGACTCTCTGGTACTTGACTCACGAAGGAGGGTTGAAGCGTCACGACTGGACATTACCATCCAAGAGTCTGAAGCCAGCCGTAGATGAGATCAAGACATGCTTCGCGACAACAGCGGCTCAACCGCCATGCTGAGTACATGTTATCTGGGATTAACATATGACTCTTGGTATTTAACGCAATTGCTATGCCTTGCATCTTGAATCTGTTTTTTTGGTTCATTACTCAAGCGATATGAGCTTTCTGCTCAAGCTGGAACGTCTTCTGTCCTTGATTGCCCCTTACGCGGAGTACGATAATCGCCCCTGTCTCCCAGCTGTGACGAGTGGCGCGAATGACCATGGGCATTTAACCATTGGCCTATCAAAGTCTGGCGCTATACCCTGCAATTCTTATGTATTGTAGAGGCGTTGCAGGGCGCTATACCCTGCTGCGAAGGTGGGGGCTGGGGGCCGCTTAGTGTTCGGTGGCACAGATGGACGGGCACTTGTGTCAACGCGCATTCCCTCCTCTAACATCGTCCCGAGTCGTGTTGCACCTCCCACTTCAATCCTGATACCGACAATCAATCGTCATCCACAAGAAGCCGATACCATGTCGCAAGACGCGGATGGTTCGAGCTACAGCGCCGATGATGAACGAATCATTAAAATCCCGCTGAACAACGACAGATTAGACCAAAGTGTTTTGGCTGCAAAACGAGCCACAACACAGTTTCAAGGGGCCCCGAGATATGATCAGGACAAGTTTGCTGTCGCAGCATCGATGGTCTATACCCCAGCTGACGGAGAAGCTCAACGGCTTCGGATCGTTACCAGGTCAAAGCGGGACACCAGTGGAACGAATGATGCGAGATCTGAGCACTGGTTGTACGTCAATTCTTCCAATGGTTGCGTCATGCTAACGACATGCAGGCATATCCAAACTCACTGCATAGATTTCGATGCGTTTGAGGTACGCTTCTACCCCTAGACCACTGGCAGCAATCTAACGGTCATGGAAGAAAGTCGCGACCCATTTTGCGCTTGACTACGATGAAGACGCCATACCGGTTGTGCTTTCTTTTTTGAAACACATCAAGGTTGAATGCACAGAGCGAACCTCACACGGCAGCTATATACGGCCGAACACAGTACTGCGATGTGACGGAACCGATCCTATACAAGCCCACAAACCTGACATATCTGCTATCTTTGTTGCTTTTCCGTACTTTGACATTGGTGCGCTCCATCCCTCTCGTGCACCAAAAGACACATCACTACACGAAACTCGGTAAGTCTGCAGCTCGCAACGGCTCGTATAAGCAAACTACTTTACTGACGTGTTGCTGGATGCTGCGGCAGAGGATTGTCCCAGTATACATATCCGCAAGAAGCTGCACAGGGTCGGGATGACGAACAAATGTTCAAGAAGTTCAAGGGTGTAAGAAGGGGAGACACTCTCCGGGTTCCCCAATTCTGGTCCATGGTCATACAGTCACACCTTATTATCACCTGCGGACCGAGTGCTCTCCACGAACTCTTCGACGGCAGTGTTGAGTTCATCTCTGGGGACTACCTTCGTACGGACGGACCCAGTCTAGTTCAGGTCACCGATTTCTACGGACAAGTCACGTACGTACCGCTCAAGCTGTGCTCAACATACGTCGCACTACGTCGTAACATTGAGAGCAAGTGTCTCGAAGACAGCGAAGAAGATAGTGAAGACTATGTCATACATCTGGGGTCAGATGACTCAGTACTGGAGGCAGACCAATGGCCACACATCATGAAATCCGAACGATCTGCAATGATCGTTTTGCGTCTCAATCGGAAGAGCACGAGCAGGGATATGTCCTTGATCGATCGTTCACGTAGTGAACAAGGAAAGATTGAGTATGGTGATCTAAGCTCCGAACATAACTCAACAGATGAAGACAAGACTAAAGCACTTATCCTAAGGCGACATTTGTAAGCGGTTACCAGTCGAATGAATCCACTCTTGGCCTCCCGCTGATGTTTATACAGCAACGATGTCGAGCAGAGTCGCCAATCGAAATACGTTGGCGCAACCAGTGAGCTTTTAGCAAGGCAAGGTTATGTCGTGAATGACCCCGGCTCGCTCGTGGGTGGCAGCAACCCTATTACTAGCCCGAAGCCGATCATCTTCCGCCGTCCAGAGCGTATGGTAAGGCCACCTTTTGCACAAGATGGCCTTCATGTTGCCAGGGCCATTACGTATGAGAGCGAAAATGCGGTTCACATCAGCAGTAGTTCGTATGCATCCATTGTTGGCACCAAAGAGCTTGCTGGTGAGGCTCTATCGTTCGCGGAAAGAGTGAGTAGTACATCATTGGTCGGTGATGCAGTCGAGACGCCGCACAGTTCAAGGGAGTCTCATGTACCTGACATCATCGACATAGAAGACGAGGAAAAACCCTCCGGCTCTTTCGAACTTGCGCCTGATGTCCACGATACGAAGGGATACACAGAAAAAGATGCTCAGTGTTCGTTCTCATCATCATCTCGCTCAATCAACGAGCGAGATCATCCTGAGTTTGAAGAGGAAGAGACCACGTTAGGAGCGATACGGAATGCGATATCAGATTGTGAAGAGGGCGTGGAATCTGGAGTAAAGGCCAAAGCTCGCTTTTCACAAAGTCAACCCAACTTGCACGTTGCCACACAAGACGCCCCAGGATCATTCAAAGGGGACGTAAAAGGGGAAGAGCTCGTTGACTCAGATCTACGACTACAGGATGATGCGAATATAATACAGGAAGAAAAGAGACGTCTCAGTATCGAGGATAACCCTGGAGACCTAAGGGATCTTGTGGGTTTACAAGTCAAAGACCTTAAAGGACTAATAAGTGAAGAAGTTGCTGCTGCGTTGAGGCACAACACTGATCAAGTCAACCGAGATGTCCAAAAGCAACTAGAGGTTGAGCTCCGCAATCGGCTCGCCAAGTCTGGCCTCCTTCCAAATCTTATCGAAGCCATCATCAAACAAGGAACCGACACAGCACCCGGAAGAGAAGAGCGATCTCTACCTAACTATACCAGGGTACCGACTAGTCAACTCGATAGGGCTACTTTGCTTCACTTCAATCTGCGATTCCAGCATGACATACTTGATCCTAACTTCTGGATCATCTTCCAACACCTGACAACAGAGGATTTGCTGCCGATGATTAACCACACATGCGACCGTCGTATAGAGGCGCATCTCCAAAGGGAGCGTCAAGAAGGATCGTGCGCTCAAACACAAGAGCGTCAAGAGCAGAATCCGCCAATGGATGCTTCTCCGTCCGAACATGTACGCACTCGCTGATGGAGATTCGGAAGTGAAATCATGCTTACTTGAACAGAACGATAGAGCTTCACGCGAAAAAACTCTGGACAGAAATCGCGCAGCCACGACGTATCGGACGCGAGAAGTTTCCCCAAGTCCCAAGCTTACAAGATTGAATACCGGTCTTCGTGTGCCACCTTTCCTTGCATGGCAAACAAGAGAGAACCCGTCAGAGCAGGATATTGATGAGAGTACCCATATACAGCTTACTCTGTTTGCTATCGAACAGCAGCTGACTAGGACGCGGACGGATGCAGCAAGACTACCAATCGATCTCACGCATTCATTTGTCCACGCGTATCAATTAGGTGTACGACTCACCAATAAGGAGTCTTCCCTCGACGATGTCTTGACATCACTAGCGACCTGTTATAGAACCTGTGCCAGAGTCGTTGGAAATACGACTAAACGCAACGAGCTGACTGTAATGGACGACACAAATGGCCTCTCCAATTCACTCGAATCAGGTACCGGCATTACTAACAGTGACATTACAGCTGATGTCAGGAATGATTCAGAAGCGGAGACCTATGTCACGGCGAGAAGAGTAACCCAATGGCAAATGGCTCTGATGCACAAACACGCACAACGCGTTTTTCACTCTACTATGGAAATCATAGACCAATTTGTACCAAAATATTACGATCATCAGCTCTTGCGCAGATGCTGGGGTGTACTGAGGTTTATCATCGAGGTATGACTCCTTTTTAATGCGCCGAAAGGCTGTTTTGGCTTACTACTTACACGACCTTGGCAGATCGTTGGCTATATGGGCGTCAAGAATGTTGTATATCAAGAGCTGGAGGAGTCAGAGCCATCGTCAACTTACGCGATCCGTGAGATTCCTCACAAAGAATACTTGAGGCTTCACAAGCTTACTGATCTATCTTCTCCTATAAATCAGTGTGACTTCTGCAAGCGCGCAAGGTACTACTCAAGCGCAGATGAAGCTTTCGAACATCTGCGGCGCGTTCACGTCAGCGATACGCATCAATCATCACATTTTTCTCGAACACAGCTATCTCACTGGGTTATGTCATCTCAGCTAGCTGGTGTGGAGGAGCAAAACGAGCTCATTGTCGAGTATCTCAGTGCAATGGCACTGCGCGTTGAGACGTTGCGATCCAAAGCAATTGATATCCGCAACAGTGTCGCCAATGAGAGAAACGAAAAGCCGAGCGAGTATCTCCTACCGCTATCGCTTGTAAAAGCGGCAGAGATGATTTTGCAGATGATCGATACTTGCGGGTATAGTGTTGTTGAGTTGCACAAACTCAATCTGGCCGATGCGATGCCCATCATTTCGTGGAAGGAGCTCAAGATTCACTTGGATCTGCTTTCATACTTTGGCTCAGCAGCTTCTACTACGCTTTCTTCAGCGCGTAAAGAGCTACTGATCATGGCGCATACTGGCAGCCACCGGGGAGCTGTACAAAACTTCCGCAGTACGCCTGAGGTTACTTTGCTCATATGCCTCTTCCATCTCTGGTCAAGAGCGGTATTGCACGACTCGTCTGTACCTGACTTGTACCGAGAGCATCTTTCGAAAATGGTATGTGCACTATTTAGGTCAGCCAGATGTTTACACACTAACAAGACATAGCAATACGAAGCTAGCCGTCGGCCATCTAAGCTTGCCCTCCGAGAGTTGTACCTCTTGGAAGAGGAATTCGAGATGGTAGCCTCTATCTGCGCTCAACAACGCAGCATGATCAGGGATTTCTACGACATCATCGGTCCCTCCACCTATCGCATAGCCACCAAAGAATGTTTCAGAGCCGACAGAGACATCGTGATTCCCCTCATGAACCAAAATCACAACAATCCTGTCAACATGGGAGCAACTTCTACAGGAGTAAGAGAAACACAGGCATTGTTCGATAGGACCAAAGAGGTGCTCCGCCACAACGTTGAAGTCTCAGAAGAAAGCAACTCGAAAGCCATCAGAGTATTTACTCTAGTGACAATCGTGTTTCTCCCTCTTTCTTTCATCTCTTCTGTATTCGGCATGAACACTACGGATATAAGAGACATGAACAGCTCGCAAGCTCTCTTTTGGGTCATTGCCATTCCTGCCACAACGCTGATTGGAGGACTCTCTTTGATGATCGCATATCATGGAACGTACATGTGGGCTAAGGTACGCGCGATGGGCGATGCTATGTGGGGATCAGAGAAGATACCGCGCGGGCGACGTGCCTGGAAACGAAAGCCAAAAGACGTGGAAAAGGTAGACGATGGCGAGATTGCAGACACACGGCCTCTGGGACCAGGTCATCTCCGGAGAAGGAAGACAGTCTTGAACGTTGTTGGGTCGAAGAAACCAAGGAAGTTCCGGTAAGAAGGGGTTTAACCCGGACAGAGTTACTATAGCCCGCCCTTTCGATAGCTGTCTCTTACTATCCATTACCACGGCCGGCCAAATCAATGCTCCGTGGGCACACTTATAGTCTCGCCTTTATCCCGTCTTCATTCAGGATGTTCAACACCTGCTTCTCTGCTTCCCACGCACTTCCCCAGCCGCTTTGGTATCCATAGCCAGCATGCCCGTAGCTATGCACTACTTCAACTCCATCAATGTTCTCTCTCTCCACCCTTGGACCCCCAGTCCTCATAGGGCGCAGACCCACACCATGTCTGATGACACTCAGCTCGGTTACCTTTCCAGTCTTCGGTACTAGCGACGGACACAGGTCGATGGAGCGTTGCATGATGCGCTGTGCGAGGTTGGGATCAGGTTGCGATTCCCACGAGTGGTGTTGTAGACAGCCTCCGAGGATGGTGCCACCACCGACTGCGCGCTGCATAATATAGGTAGCTTCTTCACTGCCATCGTCGGTTCCGCTCACTGTCACCATGACACCCGGCTCATTCCGCACTAGGACAATTTGACCACGTCCAGGGTACACGTTACTGTCCATGACGCCTCCCAGTGTGGAGGCTAGAAGACCAGTACAGTTCACGACGGCATTTGCATTGCCCGAGGTATGGAAGCTGCCTGCTTCAGAGATATGGGAGAGTATACCGCGCTTGATGGTCACACCGGCCTTCACGCACTGTCCCACGATCCAAGGAAGATAGACAGCAGTGTTTATACATACTGAAGTAAACTCCGTGCCCCTGTCACAGCCTTCTGGGAGTTCAGATTTGGACAGCACGCGGAACTAAGCAGCGTCAGCATGACTTCACGCAAGCAACGTAGATGAATGTATGAAAACCGAGTTGGGGTAGGCACTACATACATTCGGCACAACGTCCTTGAACCATGCGTCTTCTTTGGTCAGCTCTTCAAACCACTGTCCTGTAGCGGTGCCTGCATCTTTCTCTCGCCCATAGACCCTCGTCGCCTGGTAGTGGATGCCTGCTTCGGGTATCTCACGACAGATCCGATCGAGCTCACTCCAGGTAGCTTTCTCGAACCTCTGCAAATTTGAGCCTGGCTTGCCAACAGGAAAGTAGTTTGCTCCAGCCCAGGGTGATGCATATTCTATGTCGTAGTCGCCGGGCATGTGCTTGGCTACGACGGTAACGCTGAGGTCCTTGTGCTTGGAGAGCACGAGGGCTGTGGAGAGGCCGATGACGCCTGCTCTGGGGTGGTGTTAGTGCGGTCTTGAGGTTGCCGCCCAACACGGATTAGACATGTTGGAGAGTCATAGGCGAGGATGAGTACATATTACCACGGGACGTGGAGGGGCAACACAAAATATCATGACAGCATTGATAGGCGAGCTTACCCGACAACGACGACACTCTTCTGGTTGGCCATGCTGGCAGCGCAGAGTCAGAGCGATGGCTGCCTTGACGCACCCGTGATATGCCGTGGGGTGACTGAACAGGACTTCCAAGGTTGCTATCGCCGTGGATGCGGAGCCTGATGAGGATGGCGGGGTCATGCCTTGTATCCCCGGCTCGCCTATTGGCTCCTTCCCGCACACGAGACAAAACGCGTGCGCACATGCGAGCTTTGTTTACTGACCAACTGGCCTGCTTGCTATTGTAAAGCTATTATAACGCTGGCCCCGGCCCCCTTCACTTTGGTGCTATTGTCCAGATTATTGAGCAAACTCGGTTCTCGCCCACTTGCACGCGCTTTTTGCCCTTCACCGCCGATATATCGCGAAAAACAGTCGGGCCTGCCCCATCGGCTAGCTGGGGGAGCTCTGTGGTCCGTGACATCATTGCAGGCTCCGAGGTATGTAGGCCGAAGATTTTTCCGTACCATCTGGAGCTTTAGTTTCTGCCGTTTGAAAAGTACAAGAAGGCGCTGTCCCGGTGTCTGGTTGGCTGACGTCTGATTGTACTTCTCCAGGCTCCTGAGCGCGAGCTGTCCTGACTCGGGGCGGAGATCGTTGTTCCTGCGACCCGCCAAGCTGAGCCATCCCTGTCGCCGTGTCCCTTCGAGAGCCTCAAGAGTTCGGGCGCGTCACAAAGATATTCATCATTCACGTTCACCGGCCACGACCTTCACCAACTTGGCGTGGCCGGCCCAGCCCTCTCTACAATAGCAACTGTCGCACCTAAGCTCAACCCTCATCCATGACCCCGTCACCCCACTCCTGTGCCTTCCTCTTTGCATTACACCGACTTCTCCTGTCCAACACGCACGCTTGATACACCACCGCCAATATGGCTACCCGAAGACAGCGGGCCAACTCGCCTGAATTTCCCATACTCGAGGCCAATGCCCTGTATGCCAGCCAGATCCGCGGCGATGGTGAGCTTAATTACCCCATATTCCCATGTTCAAGGCTGACTTCGCCCAAGGCAACTGCCTCTTCAACGCCCTGTCTGACCAGCTCTATGGCAACCAAGATATGCACGAGGTGCTGCGCACCACCACCATAGAGCACATGAAGGACAGCGCGGACTTCTACCGCCAGTACATGGCCTGCAACACGGTGCGACGGAACCCCAAGCGCAAGACTGCTGCAGCTGCCGCCAACCGCCTTGACACCACATGCTACACCGACGAGCAGCTGCAACAGCAGTTTGAAGAGCACGTCGAGAAGATGGGCCAGCCCGGCGAGTGGGCCGACAACATGGAAGTCTCAGCATTTGCCTCCGCCCTCAACGTCAACGTCCGCCTCTGGCAGGCTGACTACACCTACCTCTTCTCGCCCCGCACATGCTACACGTCGAACGAGGACCTGGCTGCTCAGGACAGCCGCCAGACACTTCACATTGCCTATCACGTAAGTCATGCCACCACTGACTACCCCGCTGGCACAGCACTGACGTACCAATTAGACTTGGGAGCATTACTCTTCCGTCCGCAATATCGCCGGACCTCACAGCGGTCCCCCTGACGTCAACATTGTACCCCAGGTCATCTCCAAGAAGCGGCCTAGCCCTAGTGTCGACGGTGACGACGATGACCAGCGTCGCCGCTCACGAAAGCGCCGCTCCCCTCTGCCGCTCTTCGACTCCGACTCTACACCAGAGGGCACCGAGAGCTCGTCAGATGAATCAAACGGATTCGCAGCGTCGCAGCGGTCCAACATTGAAATTCCTCAACCAGAGCCGGTGAAGGTTAAGCTCACCATCAAGCTCCGCGGTCTTCGCACCTCAGATACCTCCTCCCCTACTCCATCCTGCACCACTTCTCGCGCGCCTACGCCCGCACCAGCTCCCATACAAACCCCATCCGAGCCCAAGAAGCCGGCTCCCGCAGCACCCAAGAGTGTTGCCGTGGCAGAGACCACACCCGCTGCTACCGCCTAGTAGGCTTGGTAGCATCATGGCCTTACGACGACGGACACCGATTCACGGTTCATATTGATGACGCTGACGATGATACCCCAGCATAACATTGGGCGCTTATTATTCCCGGGTTATTTTCCTTTTCCTTCTTTGCATAGCATACGAGCATTGGCAGGGGCTGTCTGTTACACATCGTTGCATATGCCAGCATGACTGACGGGTGCCAAAGTGCTTGGGCCGCGCTCTGTTCACTGGCTTTGGCGTTTGGGGGTTACGCTTGCGTTTCCACATGGATGATGATGGCTCATCTCTTGGGATATGACTGAACCTAGAAATGAGAAACCATTACTGCTGTTGACTTGTTGCTGCTTGATCTGTGTGTGTGATGTTCAGCATGTGTGAGGTTGTTGATAAGTACGTCTTGATCGTCATGAGCATTATGCATATCTACCGTCTATTCAAAGCCCTCGCCCTTGGCATCCACCTCGCCCTTCGGCCTCTCAAGCGCTGGACTCAGAGGCCCCGCCATATCAACAGGTGGCACCTGAACCCCAATTAAGCTCTTCCTATGCAACCGCGGGCTCTTATCCAACGTCTCAGCTTCCTCTTCCACCTCCGGACTCTGCCTACCGTCCTCATCGCCCTCTCCATGCTCGCTACCATAGCCCTGATTTGCCAGCCTCAAGCCCATGATCTGCTGTCTCAACTCATCCACAAATCGCTGCATGTCCTCGAATGGCAGTCTAACCGCTCCTCCATCAGCGTTCTCAGCTTGGGTGTTGTATAGCCTGAGCGCGGTGTCGAGGGCGCGTTCCGCTTGCTGCGACTTGTCCAGTCTGTACCAGTTCTCGCTGGCAAGCACAGCCCAAAGCGCTGCTTTCCGACGTCGGCTTCCTAGTTTGTACATGCCCATGCCAGTGCGCACAGCGTAGCAAGCTGAGATGCGTTCAGTGATGAGGGCGTGGCCTATCGAGCCTACGAGGCCTGTTTCTAAGATGCGTGTTGCCCAACGTGCGGCGTCGTCTGCAGCGGAGGAGCCACGGAGGCGCAGGAGCTCAAAGCTGAGAGTGAGAGTGCGGAGAGCATAGTACGGCGCTGCGCTGCGCTGGCGATCAGTATACGAGTATGATGCAGCTTCTATCCACGCATCGATGTTTTCGGCACGGGATTTAGAGGAAAGTGGTGTGGGTGCCATGAGAGCCGACAAAGCGGCCATTTCAGCAGCACCAGCGTAATGCCGCCATGCTTTGTCGTTTTGAAAGTCCGTCCTTAGGATATCATAAGTGCTCAATGCCAGTTTCCAATCGCGCAGCATAAAGCAGTAATCTGCTAACCGTCGCATGATGGCTTCGGGTGCGTCGGGACGGTAGAATCCCTGTAGGCTATCGTAGTTGGAGTTCCCGGATGCAGTCGAGGATGATGAGGAGGTTCTTGAGCCGCCAAAGGGTGTCCAACGTTTTGATAGAGACATGAAGCGGCCAGACAGACCGCGGCGTCGGGACAGGATCTGCTCGTTCCAGGTTGAGACGCTGCGCTCCATGTTGGGTATTATGGATTGTGTGACTAGCTCACGGATAAAGGTACGCAAGCTGCTGATGTCGGAATCGGGGAAGTAGGGTGTTGGGTCTGTTATGTCGTCTG